TAATGCATGCATTATTTTTCTTAATACACTCTACCAAACGACCCCTAAATGTATTATCAAATTCTCGAGATTTTCTTACGCCAAATATGAAATGAATGGCATTGTGCGGATTCCTCTTTCCCCAGGTTTCCTTCATTATTCATTACAAGGATCTGTATTTACTATTAAAAAGCTTTATTCTAGATAGTTTGAGAAGACAAAGTAAGGAAGCAGTGTACCGCTGTTTTAGAAGAGTGATAGGTGTCCCCAATGGATGACATTTGTGTTCTTAACAAAATCAAGTGAAAAAGGCTTGCGCTGGGAAGACTCCCAATTTGGTTTGTGTTGGACATGGTTTTAGAGTGGAGTCTGGTGATGCAGTCAAACTTGATTGCGATGTCTTCGATTTGGTGTACACATAATTTTGTTAAACATCTGAAATATGCGGTTAGTAACTTGTGTATTCCTTCTCAGGTGTTAAAGAATTTCCTTGATACTGCTGAGGCTGAAGTCAAGTCTCTCACTACTCTTTATATTGAAGTGGTGAGTTTCTTGCATCCATTGTCATATTTTAAATCCTCCTGGATGTCTAAGCCATGCCAAGTTTGCTGATTGTTTTTCTATCTTGTAAATCTGCAGGGAAGGAGTGCAGACTCCCTATCCCTATATTTTGGCGAGGATCCAGCTCGATGCCCCTTTGAGCAAGGTTAGAGATACATATGTTTTAATTTTTCTTGCTGTATTATCACTTATCAGTCATCTGGTAAGATTTCTGGAAAAGAAAAAACTACAGTCGTTTGGCTGTTTAACAAACACTCTTGGTAATATAGCTATTCCAGTAGCGTTTATCAGTGATACAATCTTTTTAGTTGTCTGACTTTATGTGAAGATTATGGGATGCAACATTTATGGCCTTTGTAGCTGTTGTTGAGTGCATATTGCCATTGGCTAGATTTCTCGAATTACATTTGTCCTTAAGATCTTGTTTTAACCGGTGTGAAAATTGCTTTAACAGATTTTTCCTCACCAACTCTTTAACCGGGCATTTCTTTAAATCTCGTTTTGATGTTTGTGACAAACTTTGTCAGTCTTCATTTCCCTTCTTTCTGGATGCAGTGACACAGATTTTGGTGGTGTTCATGAAGATGTTTAAAAAATCACGCGATGAGAATGAACAAGCAGCTGATGCTGAAAAGAAGAAACTGGAGAAGGAAGCTTTGAAGGAACAAGTGGCTGCTAGTTCTTCTGGGAAGAAAGGAGTTGGTGATGCTGATAGAGTAAAACTGAATTTTTTAAATCAGTTACATGCTGTGTGATCAGTTCAAATTGACCGACGCTTCTAGTACTCCATAAACTGCTAGAATCAGTCAAACTTTCTTGATGATAGCAGTTCTGCTTATATGCCACTGACTTCGGTGTACGATTTAGGTTTTATAGTTAGTTATATCTGTACATAATTACCATAGTTAAATTGGCATTTTTTTTTGCCTTTTAGAATCGCGCACAATTGCCATTGTTACTACATTTTTGTTATCTGAATGTGGTAAAAACTGAGACCTTAAGCATATAAAGGGTTTCCAAGTTGTACATATTGAAGTTCCATATTGTACAAGAGAAATTCAAGATAAACTTATCTGGAGTGACAGATCTGTGTACCTATGTTATTTTTTTTAATTGCATATTCTATTTAATAGCAATAGAAGTTTTTACTCTTAATTATTATCTCCATGTTGGACACCTTTACTATGGACATCTATTGTTTGCTTCTTTTGTTCTATTTGGAAATGACAGACTATCCAATATGAACTTTTCCACATTAATATTTGCTTATGAATTGAATAAATGACTTAAGAGAGCACATTGAACTATCTGGATAACCGTTCTGGAATATGGATCTTAACGCCATTCCTTGCTTATGAACCTCTTCCTCCTTCATCAATTTGTTTAGCTTTTGTGCGCTATATTTGGTGTTTTTCCCATGTGCCACAAGATTCATTCAGAAAGTGATACTCAACCACTGTTAGCCAATAATTACAACATTAACAAGTATAATACAAATGGATCTTACATTCAATGGCAGGAAGCAGTATGGGAGACTCACGAACAAAGAAACAATTACATATACATAATACTTTTAACTTATGTATAAACACATCCGGAATGAGAGACTTGAACCCTACAACTCATTCTGTAAATACCAATATCCAGATTAGGAATGTGAGCAATTTTATGCCAGTCTTCTCCTATTCCCTTCTCACATCGCTTTAACACTTCTGGACATTCAATAATTCTCAAACTTGAGATGCTGCAATCCCTCCGGTAAATATTTTAGCATCTTGCAGTACTGGAGAGATAGCTGTGTGAGTGAAGTTAAACCTTTCACCCCTTCCTCTGGGAGACTCTCTAGTGCATAACAATATTCAATTTTCAGACGCTTCAAAGCATTGCGACTAGCCAGGCTGGTAGGCAGCTTTTTGAGATTGTCAAGGATTTGAGATTTGCAAAGCTTTTGAACATCTCTTCTGGGAGCGAAGTAGCTTTGTTACGGCATAAGTTTCCAATTTCTTGACAGAAGAAAGGGTCGGAATAACAAACAGAGGGCAACAGTAAATTTCCATCTTCTCAAGCACATGGAATTGGTCTTCACCTTCCATTCTCTGCAATCCTTTCAGATTACAAAGACCACCTATTTGAAGTTTTCTCAGAGATGGAAACCTTATTCTTGTGGGGAATCCAGAATCAACACCAATATCCACTTCGTCAACATACTCCGCACACCCCCAGTGTAACTCTGGACTTTCTAGGCAAGGCAGATCACCAAAGGGTGGTAAGCACGAGCAGTTTTCACACCCTCTAATTATAATAGAGACAACATTTTTCAAAACTGAGTGATGTATCCAGTCTGGAAGAAGGAATCCTCTGAAGCCAGTGATTGATAAAAATATTGGGGTGTGGTTTGAGGGCTTCAAACACTTTAACTTCTTCTGATTCATATCTATGTGGTTGTCTTTCATCCCAACTCATACTTAAAGAATGCAGATTCCCTTTTGCAGATATATTGGTTTGTTTTGTGTCCTTATCATTCTTCACCCTCTCAAGTTGTATAATTGAAATTGAGCCATAGAGATTCAGGTTTCGTAGTTCATCAAGTTGACAACCTTTCTTCCTTCCCACAGCAAAGCAATCTAGAGTCTTAAGGCATGTCAAAGATCCTATCCTTGGTGGCATACAAGCCAATGGACAGCCATCAAGTAAAAGATTTCGGAGACTAACAAGTTTACTTGTTTGTTTTGGCAAACAACAAAGTGAATGGCAATATTAATTGTAGATCAAGAGTCTGCAGATTTTGAAGCTTGCATAACTGCTTTGGAAGACTACGAATTCTACTATTGCCAGAGAGGTCCAGGTATCTTAAATGTACTAGATCTCCAATGGAAGATGGTAACTGCTCAAGTTCTGCGTATATTAGATCAAGCACTCTTAAGGAGACAAACTTTATCAAGAGTGAAGGAGAGTAAGAAGGCACCAATTCAGCGAAGCCAATGGACATTCTATGTGAGTAATCTCCTACATTTGTTTCGCGGATATTGCTGCTTGATGCGCTTGCCGAAAACAGAGATGTAGCCAAATCATGGATGAGATCATGCATCTTGAAATAAGT